CTTACGCCAACTTTCTCTTCTGGCCTGCCGGCGCGTTCTCCTGCCTCGAGATTTTATTTTCTTAAAGATCTCAAGGTTTTCCGCTGTCGGCGAGTTCCGCAGCAACCTCCATGCCCTGTTCTGTTCCCTTCGCGCATTCTGACACTCAGTGTTCCACCACGGGACGTGTCGTTTGCCGGGAAGTCCAGATGTTTGTGGAATGCACTTGGCTGCTGCGTCAGTAAGAAAGGCCGTGAAGTACTGCACAGCTTCATCTATGCCTAATCCGCATATTTCGGTCCAACTGAAGTGAGTAATTTTTTGAAATTGTTCCCAGTCAGCTTTGTTTATGAGCCATTTGGGAACATGTGGAGGACATTCATGCATTATTGGTGTACTCAAAACCAAAGGAAAATGGTCACTTCCGTATGGGTTATTTATGACTTTCCACTGAAGTAATGGTACAAGTGAAGGAGATGCGATACTGAGGTCTATGGAGGAGTAAGTATTGTTTGCAAGGTTATAATATCTTGCCTGTTTTCTATTCAACAGACAAGCACCTGATGAAAAGAGGAACTGTTCGATGAGACGACCTCGTGCATCACATCGACAGTCACCCCATAAACCGCTGTGCGCATTCAGGTCCCCTAGAACCAGATAAGGTTCTGGTAACTCGGCTATTAAAGAGTGAAAATCATGTTTTTCCAGGCGGTGTTGCGGCGGTATGTATAGAGAGCAGATGGTGACGAGCTTATTCAATAGAACTGCTCGAACAGCCACTGCCTCTAGGGATGTTAGTAGTGGTAGATGGCTACATGCTACTCCTCGATTAACAATAATGGTTACACCACCAGATGATGCCACAGCATCATCTCTGTCTTTTCGAAAGACAACATATTGACGCAAAAAATTTGTATTCTTGAATTTTAAGTGTGTTTCCTGTACACACAGCACTTTTGGAGAATGTTTGTTTAGAAGTTCTTGGACATCGTCGAGGTTTCGAAGTAGTCCTCTGACGTTCCATTGTATAATTTGAGTCTCCATTATGGGAGTGAAGAAGTGCTGTGTGTACGAAATGAGTGTGGCTGGTGTCTAAAGAGAGAAGTGACTTATCTTACAGAGCCTTTAGAAGGCCCTGTAATTACCGTTTTGTCTTTTTTAGAGCGGTCGAGGGAACCCCGCCGCTCTTTTGGCGCAGTCTGCGCCGGTGCAGTTGATGTGTCCATCGCCTCAGGAGAGGGGACAGATAATGTTTTCGTTGTAGGCTTCGTTGTGACAGACGGAGCCTTAAACCCCACCGGGCTGGAGGTCGAGGGGACCTCTTTAGTTTGTGTGGTGCCCTGGCTGCTGCCAAGGTTCACAGGCGCCTTCGGTGGGGCTGTATTCAAGGAGGGTGGGGCAGCCGAGGCTGCTCCCCCCATGGGGGCTTGTGGCGTTTGCCTCGGCACGCTGGGCGTGGTCCAAGGCATTGCCGAAAACCGAAGTGGTGCTGACCCCCCTCGCGCCACTTCGGCGTACGATGTGTTCCCAGAAAAATGCAGGGAAACGCGCTGCCGCGCTTCACGTAAGCTTATGTTCAATTTAAACTTTGTACTAATAATTTCTTTTTCCATTTTTCAGGCCACGCATGACCTGGAATATGCAGGATGGTCACCCTCACAGTTTGCACAGTGCACTTGTAGCTGACAGTCATCGTCAGCGGTATGACCTTTGGTGCCGCATTTTGCGCAGGTAATCTGTCCTCGGCAGCTCTGGGAGCCGTGCCCGAACCTCTGACACTTAAAGCAGCACCTCGGGTTGGGTATGTATGGTCTAACTGGCAGTTTAAGATATCTTGTTGCTATTTCAGTTGGGAGGGTGCTAGATGCGAAAGTGAGTATGATGTGCTTCGTTGGGATTTCCTTATTTTCTCTTCTTATTTTGATACGCTGCACCTGAATGACATTTTCCTCTTTCCAGCCTGTTAGAAGTTCATCATCAGAGAGGTCCATCAGGTCTCCATCTGATACAACACCCTTCACTGTGTTCATGGTTCGATGTGGTGTGATTGTGATAGGCTGATCCCCAAATGCTGTGAGTTTATGTAGTCTCTGGTACTGTGCGTTGTCTTTTACTTCAAGTAACAGGTCACCACTGGCGGTCTTTGTGGCCTTGTAGCCTGCGCCCAGCGTTTCTATAAGGCATTTCGATACAAGGAAAGGTGAAATGTTTCTAGCTTTCTTTTCTGTATTTTCACAATGAATAATGTGGTATTTTGGGAAGTTGTCTTTTTTGTTCGGGAGAAATTCAAGAATTACATCGGTGCGCCACCTCTTAGAGGGGCGATTAGTTGTGACAGGGCTAGGGGTTCCCATAAATTTGATAGCTTTTTCGGCGGCCATGCCAGCCACCCACCACCGAGCCCAACAAGGGGACGCTGCGAGACGCGAAGGAGGCGCAAGCGCCAGCCGTACATGGCCGCTATAACCTAATATATCTACCCAAGGTTGGATATTTACACTAGGTTAACCCTTGCCGCCAGGAAAAATTGGAAGTAAAAAGAAGTGAGGAGAATACAGGAAAGATGTAAAGTGAGAACAAAAGACGAAGATGTAGGGAGAGAGAGATAGGAAAAGGCGACTGCTGATTTCCCCTGGGTGGGTCAGCCAAGGGGTGCCGTCTACGTGAAGCCGGGGCCAAAGGGGTGTGTTGCCTCTGCCGGGGGGCCTTAAAGGTCCAATCACCCAGCGTCGGCTCAACCCCCAGGATCCCCTTTTCCCCGGACACGGCAAAGCCACGCACGGCTAGGCGTGGGAGGGAGTAGAAACTCCCCCGTTAGCTCGGGTCCGTGGTGTCGCTACACACCAAACGCCTACCTGCGCAGGCGCCCCTGCGGGGTTGATAAGTATAGTACATCTACTGTTCTAAAAAAAAAAAAAAAAAAAAAATTGAATAAAAAAAATTTATGTCGAGATTCATCTGAACATGTTTTGAAATTTCGTTTAAAAGCGCAAGGTGGCTGTTCAAAGGCCAACAGCGTGCAGTCTTCGAGCACCTTGCCGTCGATAATGCGCAACCGCTGGCCATTGTCGATCGCTTGGTGTGACAAGCCGAGCCTCACTTTTCAAATAACGATGGTTTTTCGTGCTGCTGCAGCGCAAGAAATAATAAAAACAAGCACGCTTTCGCCGTGTTTCTCGAGCACCGCGAATGGCTTTTAAAGCACGTGGCAGAGGTCTGGGACTGCCATTGACCGCTGCACACCTGTATGTGCTGTGAAGCCTACTAGGGGGGTCCATGTCTTGTCGTGGAGCGCAGGTGAACAACAATTTTCTCGTGTGTTTATCTCTGTTATAGATGAAGGAAGCCATATCTCGTGCGACAGCTACACTGTCAACGTGAAAGCAGTTGTGGTGGTGCACTCTGTAGGAATAAGCTACAAGCAGCTGGTCCTATTTGCGGCAATTGTTAGCTTGCAAAAGCCAATGCATCAAAAGTTATCCACAGCCATCAGCCGGAAAGTCCGTGATGGAGCAATGGATGCCATCTGCGCAATCTTGCGAAGTCGAAGGAGCTTACAGCGACAGAAGTTGGCGGGGACACCATTGTCATTATGTACAACAGTATGTGGCCCAAATGCGGCCATAAAATGGCATTCGCACTGTCGTGTTCCTCAACAATGAACTTTATTTAGATTTCGAAGTCCGGTCGAATTTCTCCATAGCTTTCAGTCGGCACAATGCTTTGCAAGATGGAGCAGAAAAAGTTTGGCAAGCACTTCATGGCCTTGTCTGTGAGCGAAACGTCTGCGAGGAGTCAGCTCGAAAGAGCCGTGAGGGACAAACTGATGGTGCTGATACATTCTAGTAGCAGTGGCCAGTACAGGAAGGATTGTCCTTTTTTGTGCACAACTTTCACTGCATTTAGTGACATCTTTCATAAATAAGCATTGAATTTTAACTTTAAAACTCACTTTTCCCAAAACAAAAATTTTGTCATTTTTTTTAATGTGCCCCTCTTTTTATAGATATATTTGGTGCTCGGATCTGCAAGAAATTCGGTCAAATGTTTTCCTAAGTATAATAAATCCAATTATCTTGTCTAAATTTCAATATTTTTATTGTGTGATAAAATTATATGTAAACTTTTACTAGGGTAAGAAAAATATAGACTTCTTGATGTCTACTACACATATTGTACGCACTTCCTAAATAGTTTTTTGCATTCTACACTTTATTTCAAACATTTTGAACCATAAATGGTAAAAAAATATGGGAGTTTAGTGATGGGAAGAGGGTGGGGGCAAAAGGCTTAACGTTTTGACTTTGTTATGTTGCAGAACTGAAAGTATGCGACTTGCAAAAAAAATATTTATATATCTGAAATCAGCATAAAAAGTTTCTTATAAAATATCTTATAAATGATTTCCAAAGACCCATAGCATAACCTGTGTTCTAACTACTTTGTATGCAAAGAAAATATTAAGCAGTTATAGCAGGTGGACAATGTGCAGGCAAACTTAAGCAGGCGGACAAACTTTAAGCAAGTGGGCAAACAGGCCGTCGTACGCTGTGAGGCTTATCCACCACATACAGTTTTGTTGGCACACCAGTCGCTAATGTCAATTTTTGCTGCTCATTTGCTGTAATGTGATTTGCTTAAGAAGTGAAGTCTGCAAGTGTGAGCACTGGTAGCGAAGAGGTCAAGTGACTTTGTTTCGATAAAAGGAAGATCAATCGAGGGGTCAGTTTTCATTAAGCATAATTATGTGAAGCCAATAGAAGACAAAAAGAGCATGGAGTGTTATTTGTAGCTTTTAAGAGAAGACTACCAATCAGGAGATAAGGAAACATACAAGTCGGTGATCAAACAACATACACAGTGCCGGTGGGTACTAAACCCACAACCTTTGCATTGAAACAATGAAATCATGGAGAAAATCTGGGCTACCTTAAATAATTACTGAACAGGTAAGTCGCATCTACTTGAGCACAGTGGCAGATGAACAGCCAGCAATGAGTATGCAAGCTCGGAGCCCCCACCTTTTGACGATGACATGGAATCCCTGAGCGAAGGCACGTACGACGAGGCGATGTTGTGCACTGCGGCCACCATCGTCTCCATGTCGGGGGCCGTCGAGTGACGCCGCCGAAGCGACAGGCCCAGCGGACCGGTCGATGGCACGAGTAGGGATGTCCGCCGAGGCCGTCCCGGTGCCGACGCACCATCCCTGCATGTTCACACGATATCTCGAAAAAGTAACGATGGGAGCCAAACACGGATCCTCCACCACGCTCAAGGATGGATTAGCCCACTGTCAGGGAAGCCCCTAACAGGATTAAGAAGAGAGGCCCCACTCCGTGGCTTCCTGCCCGCCAGCTCAACAAAAAGCCTAAAAAAAAAAAAAAATTGCACACTCCTAGACCTAAGCAAGTACGGAGGAGTGATAGAGGCACGAAACGCAATGTGGCAGCGTCCTTGCCGTGAAGACTGCATGAAGCAGCAACAAGGGTCCCTTAAAAATAACAGTAGTAAAGAGCCCCACAAACAGAATAAAGACCCACCCAGCTTCCCTCACGTTAGGAAACACTAACTTGCTGCAAATATTGTTCTTAGCATCTGCAGACTTTGCAAGAGCAACATTTACGTCTTCCGAAAGTGTTTTATTTTATTTCATTAAATTATGGCAATGAACGTTCAGCTCGGCTGACCCCTTTCCATGGGTGTCTTAAACAGCTGAGTTCGATTTATTGATTGAATGACCTATTGATTGACGTAGACACTAAGAATTGTGCTGAGGAATCAGTGTGAACTGTATCAAGATCAATTTCTATCTCAAGTAGACTCAAGCGAGATAGCAAAAAATTATTACTGTTGAGAAAAAATTGCAAATAAGCCAGAACTGGCATTTATAACAATAATAAAGGTTCAAACATATGCAACACACTGTACTTAAACTCATAAGAACTGTTTCTTCAATGAATATTTGTCTCCTACAGCAGATCTTAAACAGTTATCATATTAAGAACAGTTATAGAAAATTCTTTTTTGGTCACAAGCATTCCTTCTTTTATTTATTGATCACTGAAGGCGGAAATCCAGATTTACCCAATCGAAATTTTTAACACTTTGCGGGCCAAATTTTTTAGTGAAAAACATTCAGAAATGGTCAAATTACTTTATTACAGCTTTTGAATGCATGAAATGTGCAAAATTAAAAAAAAAACTCCCCCCCCTCCCATCAGAAAAAAAAAAAAACAGTTTTTCGATGTCAGCGTTACTCAGAGCTGTGAAACGCTAAATAGTATTTCAGAGCATGGTATTCCTAAAAAAAAAGGGTCCAGTCTAAACACAGCACCTTTTCACTGTATGCTTCACATAACATGGGTCTCCGTAATCTTTTTGGAGTGACGAGTTGCGCTAGCAAACACGTGGCATCGTCATGTCATGTTGCTGCCTTGGGCAGAGTAAACTTGCTTATCAAAAACGAGAATAGCTCGTGAGTTTCGGTAATAAACAAGCTAAGAAGAACGTCAATAAAAATGAAAATCGACTTCTACCGCTCCGGCAAGGGAGTGCCTATAAAAATAAAGATCAAGTTTCGCGTGCCTTTGTAGCAATCATGCGACAAAACCAAAATGACAAAAGGATGTAGCCCATTGGCGTTGCCGCAGATCGCGCGATGCATTGACGCTAGAAACCAAATTCTGTTTACATCTGCAAGAAGGTGGCACAGTCATTTCCAACGCATTTCCTACAAACACTTGCTGCATAAATAGTTAGCCTGAGTGACAATGTGGCTAGGCTAGCCAGGCACCTGACCCTGGATTCAACATCTGATATTAAATGCCAATGTATCCGTACAAGCTTAGACCACTGTGCGCAACTTCCCGTCTACGACAAATTTCTGTCATATCCACAATAGATGGTGCATTATTCAATAATAATAATAATAATAATAATATCTGGGGTTTCACATGAAAAAGCAATGTCGTGATATAGAAGCATACCGTAGTGGAGGGCTTGGGTTCTTTATAACGTACATGCACCAACATCCCACAGTACACAGGCTTCAAGCATTTTGGCTTCATCAAAATATGATTGCCACTGCAGGAATTGCAGATTATGAGCATTACACACAAGGTAGATATTAAACACGGAGCGTTATCACTACTGCACTTTGGTTCGCTTCCTACATTCATCTGTCTTGAAAGGTAAATTGCAAGGATCTTTAAAATAATGTTCAAGCACACACACCAAGCTTACCCCAACACCTGCTGTTCTAAGATTTCTACAGGCATTATTTGGCCGGTTCATTCATCCCTATGTTTGTATTGACAATGAGTCATTAATGACAGGCATCACAGGCACTCACGCTTCGACGACGTCCTCCTTGAAACCGTTGACCTTGCGCATTTTGACCTTCTCCACAGATGGACTCGGTGGTGGAGGTTCCATCGTCTCTCCATCCACCTCCCTGAGGTAGTTGATGCTGCAGAGAGGCTTTCATAAAAACATGGCTTGTCACTGTGCTTTTCAAACTGAAGGTTTACGATGCCATGAGATTTCAGCATGTGCGTGACATTCTTACTTTTTACCCACTACCCCTTTTTCACCTGACAACAGCCGTTATCACGTCGCTGGATGTCGACTGAAGAAGCGTACGCAACAGAGCAAACACAATACAGAAAATGCAGCACCTGCGCAAAATTACCCTTTACTTCTTTTCAATTTTACTTCTAATGTGCTCTCATTAGTATGCACATTATGGTGAAAAGCTTGATGCTTGCATGACGCCTACCATATTTGCCCACATACTATTCGCATTTAATAAATGTTGGCTAGCACTGGCTAATTATGGTTGCTAAGGTAGTTGAATGTAGTTATATATCCAGGCATGGGCTAACATCCAAACATGTAAAATATTTAACAAATATTAAAGTATTTGAATTCGCTTTGATACGAAGATAAATTATTTGAATATTCACTTATATGCTGATATGCAAGCTTATATACGGATGTGCAGCAAGTGCAGAAAATATGCAACATATTTTACCATTTGTAACTTGGCCACTATTTTAATTTGCTTCCACTTCACTTCGACCTAAAAAGGTCACATTCTCCGACACCTTGCTTTAATTTTTTTAAATATTGCGCAGGCTAGTTGGGTCATGTAAAAGATGTTCTCTTTAAATACAGATGACATGTGCTATTCGAACTATTCAATTGAAAATACTTGAGCAAATCACCAGAGCCTTCAAACTTCAAAATTGCTATTCAGCACACATTCCTAGTTCAATGCAATCGAAGACACTGCTAATACATTTCTCTGATATTCACCTATACACTGCAACTGCAACCGAATTCTTTCTCTTGCTTACTGTAACTAGTCTGAAACTAACATGTAATAATTTTCTCTGGCTTAATTGAATAGTTTATCACACAGTCACAAACGCATACACTATAACAAACAATAGTTGACTCACAAGACCACGCTGAGATCCTGTATGAGAGCGAGGATGGCGGCCACTTCACCCTGCGTTTTTTCCGCGAGTGTCTGGTCGTTGATGGAGAGCACAATGTCCCCAACGCGCAGCTCCCCGTGTCTGGCCACAGCCGATCTGGGCTCCACGTCCGAGATGGTCCAGATACCGTGCTGCCAGCGCAGCTTCAAACCTGCTCGCCCCCGATGAGCACCAATGAGCAGCGAAAACACCAATCAACATGAATTCGAGCGGGACGTTCAAGTGCCATTAGCGTAGTTGTACAACCTTAATGAAGCCAAGATTAGATTCACCCACAGCGCTTATGAAAGCTAACCATATGAACCACTTGACTTGACAAGACAGATACGGAGAGTGGAATTTCTTAAACTGCCTTACACAAACAATTCACCACTAGACTCATCTCTATATCTATCGCCCCTATTAACCAGAACCCCACGTCACTGGAGACCAGATGCATTAACACCTTGCTTCGCGAGAACGAACACAACTAAGAATTCTTTTTTCCTTTGTACAATGACCGAATAAAATTGTCACACATATTGATTCTATTTTCGTGATATTGTTTTTGTTTTTCTTGTTCTTTCTAACTTTTTTACAAACGTGTTCACTGTTGCACCATTTTTATTGCCCTCCCTGCTTGGACGACGTGCCCACAGCATTTGATAAATAAATAAATTAATTAATAAATAATATAAGTAGAATAAAACCCAAAAATAATAAAGCCAAGAAAGGTATAGGAGATAATCATTACACTGTTTTAAATGTATTGCAATCATTATGATATAAATATAGAGAAAGTAAGGCACGGAAAAAGACACCTTGTTGCTGGCCGGGACCGAACCAGCAGCCTTCAGATGACATGCCTGATGCTCTACCAATTGAGCTAAGCTGGCGATCGTCTTCTGTTGCGCTTTGTCAGGCATTTATGTGCACGCAAACTTGGGAGTGTTACTCAGCTCCGCTCAGTGTCCACTTTTTTTTTCTTCACATCTATATCATATTCACTACAATACTCTCTTAATAGCCCAATTAGCATCCCTTGTACCTTTCATGGCATCATTATGTGATTTCTTTTTAAGTTGCATTAAACAAAGAAACGAGCCCTCCATAATTACCTTCAATCATTCATAGAGAGTGGTAGTACGATAAGACAAAGAACAACGCAGAAACACACACACACCAAGATAACTTTTGTAACTTGGAGAAAGCAGTGTGTGTGTCCTGGATTTTGATAAATATATACATTTTTGTTAACTTTCAACATTTTCGAAATGTTAGTGGTAATTTAAAACATTTGTTGGTAACAGTTCACATTGACAACTTTCACCCCTTGTTGGTATCTTTCAAGATTCACAAATTATCAGAATTTCTTAATGTTAAAAGTTCGACAGCTGAACTTTCCACATTCAACGTATGTGACTTCAAACATTAGCCCTGTGCACATATATCTATGATCTTATTCATCCTGTCTTAATTGACTGTGCCTAAAGCACCAAAAGGGAAAAAAGAGAGAGAACAACTTTATTGAAAATAAACGAACCTTAGTTCAGGTCTACTAATAAAAAAAGCACAGCGCAGCCATCAGACAGCCCTAGAAGTTTGGTCAGCCATAGCAGGCTCCAACTCCTCAAATCATTAAAAAGAGTACAGTCATCAATCCTGGCATCGATCAGCCATGACAGATGCTAAGCTCAAAGAAGGACAGCAGTCTACAAACAACGCTGAATGAGTACACACACTGAAAATGTGAAAAATGATGCCATGGCATGCTCTTTCTCACCTACAAACATGTCCTACTGCTAGGCTCAGCAGTAGACTTCCAGGACATTTTTGCAAAAGAAAGCATGTCATGCCATTCAGATAAAGCACCCTATCGGCCCTTAATTTAAAGATATTACTCGTTCAAAAAGTTTTTGCAATCAACAGCAAACTAGTCTACACCCTATCTCTGAATGAAAAAGGTGAGAAAAAGTAACCTTGGGGGTTTTATGCACCAAATCAAGTTATGAGACAAGTTGTGGCAATCATTTTAGGACTTTGAAAACTGCAGAGCTGGCTCACCTAGAGATCCACCAGTGTTGTGCAGAACAACGGTCCCTGAAGACGCCTTCCACAGCTCATCTGGAGGTTGAATAGCACTGATTTCATCCGAGTCCACTGATATGGAATTCTCGGGTCGCTCAGGCTGCAAAAATAAAAACACCATAAAAAAGTCAATGGCACGAATTCGCCAATGGTCTCAAATGAACGCAATATTTCTTTAAACATCTAATATGGATTGCACAGTATGTTTTTGTTTTGACAGTGCCGTGAATTAGCTGGTGTACATTTATTGTTCCCGAGCTATGCGAGCCACACAATAATGGTGAGCGCTGAGAGAGTTGTAAAGGATGATTTTGTCGTTAGTTCCTACGGTATTAGTGTTCTTCTTATATCTGTTAGTATGTACCATATGTATAGCACGTACTGCACTGTGATAAAAAAACTGCTATTTGGGATTGAACAACATAGCTTTTAATTGTTTCAACCTCAGCTAAAGAAGCTAATGCGCTTGCGCATCCGACAATGATTCAGTGATTAAAAAAGTCATTTCCCAGGCTCCTATGTGAAATCTTATGATTGATTAGCATTGTATTAGACATGTTAGCTTTGAAAACCAATAATACTGTACATTGGATATTTGGTCCCCTGTACCCACATATGCTGTGTACGTGTAAGGTAGCTAGGCTCCAACAAACTTTTCAATCTATGCACACACAAAAAAAAAGATCGCCAAGCCCGCGCGGAACGCCACAGTCGGGGCGGAAGCCCGAAGAGCGGCCTTTCAGAGCCTTTGTTAAGCACTCTTTGGTTGATTCCTACAAACACACTAGCAGGGTACCCACTACGCCATAAGCATCCTAATTTCTGTGTTGTAGGGAGGCATGCCCAATGCCACTCTTCGTCATTTTTCGGAGAAGCAGGGTACCCGCTACATACTTGCAGGGAATTTCGTGCAATATTTTATGCTGTGACTGACGAAGATGGAAGAATTATGCCTAGAGGTTTTGTAATGAGTTAGAGCATTTGATGACCCACTCGTTACACACTTCGCATTGTGTAATGCTTGGTTGTTGCTTTGCTGTTCGAAAATGCTTTATTGCTCATATTAATGCGATTACTTTCCCGGCATAGAGCCTGCTAAGGCCAGTTTGCAATGTAGTTTCAAGCACCAACATGGCTCTGTGGTAGAATACTGGTATGGCACGGAGGACATCTGTGTTCGAACTCCATTGAGTCCTTGATGTTTTTCATTTACTTAGGTGGCGGCGGCGGACAACTACGGTGCACACAACCCTTGTTGTGATTTCATATCAGCTTTCGCTGTAAAACACATACTAGCGCAAGTGCTGCCTTAAGAGTTTGAAATGAAAATAACTTTGGAGTAATAAGATTATGATGGCTCATGGAGAAGTGCAGAAATGAGCCACATTTTCAGAGTCTCCAAGTGCCTTTGTTGCCTAGGTTGAGGTGCAGTAAAGAAGAATTCACATGTCTCGTACCATAAAAGCTCTCTACAAAAATTCATGAAAGATGCTCTCATCCTGTAAACTTGTGTAAGTGAGTTACAAAAGCCTAATAGAGTCACTGTGAACTGAAATTACAGTAGTTCTGTTTATTTTAGGCATTACAAGAAGGCGTCTTTTATCTTTTTACATGATAAGCTCCGCCAGAAATTGTCTCCTGTCTTCATTGCATCGCACTTTTTGGAACTGGGCTTGTGCGAATAGCAAATTTTAGGTTCGAAGTGAATCATGATTTGGTCAAATAATTTCGAACCAAATTCGAACAGTGTATATCACATATTAAACAGAAAAATGAGCATATTTACCATGACTCAATAAACCTGCACAACATCTTTTTGATTGAAGTAAAGTAAAGTCACAAACAAAAGTCATTATATTTTATTCAAGGAGAAGTAGCAGCAACTTTTGAATAGTAACAAGACTTCAGTTTCGGTAGAATGCCAGTGATAACTTGGAAAATAAGTTACATTTTAAAATTTATTGTACTTAAAGCCATATACATCAGAATAACAAGCTTTTAAAGTTTGAATCAATGTCAGAGTTTTATGTTCATTCAACCTTGAAGTAAGGCTTCGTGGCAGTACGAATTTTGCTTGAAAAAGTGTGCTAATGATACAGTGTCCCTCTACTGCAGTGAAATTCCCATTACAGAGGGTTTCATGCAGTTGATGTATGGTTGCTCATTCATTTCGAATACTTTGAAATTCAGCATAGCTTAAATTTGTTTCAAAAAGGAATTTGGATACTGTAATAGTTATTTCAATATGTTAAGTGCTCATATATTTGCACAAGCCAAGTCGGAACATACAGTGACATCTTCACACTTTAGATAGAACAGCCAAAACTCTCTGTCATGCATTTTTTGTTTATATATAATACTGTAATTTCTACAAAGTGTCTAAGCTGTTTTTGAACGGCATAAAGACTACACCTTACAATAAATCAGAAAGTTCAAGTTCATTTTTTAATGTTTTATCAATTCTTCAACACACAAGACTCGTTTTTTTTTTTCATTTAAGTCATATCAGACAGAGAGAAATGACTTATTGGAGGCAATAAAAAATTCACAAATACACTGGCTTTTGAGAATTCTCTGAAGAAAATTATGCATGAGCAATCCCTGCACGTTATAACAAACCAGTGAAATCGTCCAAGTGTTACACCACCAACATTAAGTTTAAAGAAGTAGTGAATTTATTGCGGTCATATTAAAATCTGTTTATAAGAAGACCTTTGACGACTTGCCATATTTATAACCAAAGAAAAACACCCAAATCATCTTTAGTTGACTTGCTAGATCACCCTTTTCATATACAAATTAAGTATGTCCACTCAAAATTTACTTTTATCACAAGACCTTCCATTCTCAGAATAACAAGACGACTTGTAGGGTGCTTGAGCTTCGCTTTCAGGAGTAGAACGCGTTATTATCGGACCCGATGTGCATCGTCTCCTCAGTTGCCAGCCTGGCTTCGCTTCTTCGAGCTTTTTATCCTTTCGTCCATTTTTCTTTTCACATTTACATTACACTTACTCCTAGGGACCTCCCCTACACTTCTCTTGACATCACTGTCTGTTAGTTTGCATTAACAATGCAAATACAGTTGCACAGAGCCCACTGGACTATAATTCTTCCTTTTGCCAGTCAGGGAAGAGCCCACATAGCGTTTGTAAGGCAACACATGAACCTATGCAGGTGCTCATTTTGTCAGCGCTCCTGCTACTGATTATGATTGAATATGTTCGAGTGCTTTGCAACGGAAGGCTCCTCAAAACAGTCACTCGTTTGTGCAATTCGCATGCTTCAATGCCTACTGCAATTCTACGCTTCCGCCACACAATACTTGCGCGTGTTAAGGAGACTTCTTCCGCAACATGACATACACAGACTCAAGCAATGACGTGGCTCTTTGGCAGAACACCTGCTTGCAATAAAGAAGGCCTGGGTTACATCTTCACTTGAACCAATTTATTTTTTATTTGCATCTTTCTTACCCTCTTGGGAATGTACAGCACTGCTGATTTTCACTCACAGCCAATGACTACACCGGAATTACTACAATACGAGCTCTTTGCGTTAAAGGGACACTAAAGAGCAAAAAAATTTTTCACTTATTAGTAAAGTACAACTTCACAATCCCCATAATACCACTCTTACCGAAACACAACCCTTGATAAGCGAGAAAACGCGCGAAAAGAAACTGTGGGTGGAGATGCCACCTTGAGATTTCTGCACCCAAACACTGTCATGTCATAAATTTTGAAGGCGTCTACTGGCTACTATGTAGCATCGAATTGATAAGATTGAAGTACATTGTTATCTGTAGGTGCCATAGAGATAGCATATAAAGTTTCAGAAAATTTCGTCAATCAAATGTTGCAAAAATGCGAAAGATTCATTGTGGCATTTCTTGCAGCACTTGTTGGAGATTAGGGCGCGATCTCGAAAAATGAAACGTCAACCTTGCTTTTTTCTGCTAATAATGAACTTATGACAGTGAAACTTACGACATTAGAGTACTCAGAGTGCAGTTTATCAATCTAAAACAACTCGTTTTTCTTTAGTGTCCCTATGAAACCTTTTGCTACAGCCATATGAAGGCTGTGGTTCGCTAGCTTTATATGACTGTGACTAAGATAATCAGGCTCGTCTGTTCTACTCCTACTCGCAGTGCTGCCTTATGGCAGGTCAGGCAAATTTTAATTTTCAAATTTTAGTCATTCAAAAATTATTAATTTTTTTTGAAACCTCATGGCAAATTCTTTTCAGGAATGATCCATATATAGGATATAAGAGAAGGGTTCTTTTAAATGGTAATTTTACATGATAATTTGGTTAAGATCTGTCTCCCCCACCTCTCCACCCCCCTCTGCTCCCACAATTTCCATTGTTCTGGCCCTTGTGGGACAATATTTCATGACTGGCACGCTAGCTGAAGCAAGTTTGACGACTCCTGATCTACAGGAAAGCTTTACATTTTGCAAGTCCGACACGTGCATAGACACTCCGTTATGGTTTGTGCTTGAAATGAAATACCAGATGCAAATCAAATATCAAGAAATGAACTTGCTGAAGAGAGGAACACTGATACAAACAGCAGATGTCCAGATGCCTGTTTTGCAACTTTTTCTACACGAGAACACCTTATACAAATTATTCTTTTTGGAGCTGAGAGTTGAGCTAGTTGCTTATATATTGGGTGCATCACGCAAATATCAAGAAAAAGAGAACAAAGCGAAGAAACAAGTGGACAGAAAGCTGCTTGCTTCTTTTATTAAGTGTATTCGGTGTAAATTCTTACGATGCATTTATCACGCTATTATTACTTAGTGCACAAGTCGAACTGAAACTGTTTCAAGATATTTGCAACATGTTACAAATATGATTACTTCCTTATTGGTGCTATTGAGGTACTACCTTGGTGCACACAGTTAAATGCAGAGCCCCTCAAGAGCTTAAAAAAAACCACCTCTAGTGATTACGGTCTAGTGATTATGATGCTCGACTGACAAGAGGTCCGAGGTAAACAGCGCAAAAAAATGAAGACGGCGAAATAGGAAGACACTAGACGAGCGCTTTCTTTTTTTTTTCTGAGAATAAGGATATAAAAAGGAGCCC